TTTTTACATAATTTTTCAATCTTAATTTCCTGATCACTGAAAAATGGCTCACCCCTCCCTTAAGGATAATTTGGTGTAAAGGTTTAGTGGGACACTTTTTACATTGATTCAACCATGAATGAATTACTTATAAGCAGTATACTGTATGGCTGAGTGGTGTATGCCAGACCAATGCAAAATGGCAGAGGGATCCCCCCAACTTCTGGTCCCCCTTAATACCTAGGTGTGTGAAATTTCTCACCTAGGTATTATTGACCCTTGTGGTGCCAGGGTTTCCACCTTGCGCCTTTGCCCCAACCTAATGCCTCCCTCCCATGACTCCAGCCCATGCCCCTCGCCTGCGCCCATGACCACACCCCCTGCCAAGGCCCCTGAACCACCACCCCCACCCCCTGTGCCCCCTGTCTGCAATCCTCCGCCCACACCCATGCCTCCAGTCTATGTCCACACCTGTGTTCCCTTACTCCGAGATTGCCCCTGCTACTCGGAAAAATTTTATTTATTTTCGATTTTTTATTTTTTTCCCAGCTCCCCCTACCACATCCTATCCCCTAAGGTCCAATTTTACTCACTTTTCGAGAATGCTTCAGTTTTTTTTTTTTTTTTTGCAAATTTTGGGGGGATTTTTTAATTTTTGAGTTTTACCTACTTTCGAGAATGTTACAAAATTTCAGTTTATTTTTCCAGATTCATTTTTTTGCACCTCCCCTTGACTTCACCCTCTGTCCTTTAACCCTTAAACGGTCCAAAAGTATATATACATTCATGTACGTAGCGCCCCAAGCGTATATATACGTTTTATTTTTCATTCATTCAAAATTGGTGCGATAGGCCTGAGTCACCTAGATATGAGAGAATGGGTGTGCGCACTCAGTGTGCGTGGTATACAAAAAAATCTGGGATGCCTGGGTACCACATTGTAGGACCAGTTACATTCAGCTCCATCCTGGGTCAACATCATAGCACATCCTCGTGATTCACTCACGCCTTTTCGTATTAACACTCTACTATTCGAGGAAAGTGATACAGATCGTGAGTTTAGTGGATTTGACACCAATGGGGCCAGTAATATTCAAGGAATTAGTGAAAATATCGATGATAAACCAGATGACCCCCAGCCCATCACCGCTGGGGTAGCAACACCTGTCCTAGGGCCAAGCACCTCTGGGTAGCCAGTGTGGCCACAGCGGACCCTAGGCCAAGCACTTCGGGGGTGGCCAGTGTGGCCACAGAAGACCCTGGGCCAAGCACCTCTGGAGAGGCAAGTGTTACCCATAGGCAACTTCGCAAGAGGAGGAAACTATCATTTTCCCGGTGTTTTAGTGATAGTGAAAGTGATGTAAGTGACAATGAGATTGATTTTATGCCAATCGAGGATTCGTCTAGTGATAGTGAAGTTCATTATTCCCCAGTGAAACGTACTTTTAGGCGTCGTTATCTACGTTCAGGTAGTGTGCCATATGCAATCCCCAAGGGTCGTGACTGGTCACGATCCAAAACCCCAGCCACTGATAGTGAAAGTGATCACGAAGGGGAGTATGCGGGGATGGAGGAAGTAGTGGGGGTGGCACGGCATAGCGCAGTGGGTGGACAGACATAGGACCGCCCGGCATCCCCGCAACCATGAGCTGCCTCCACTCCTGTCCTTCCTCCTGCCCCCCTCGCCCCATGCCACAGGTCCACCCTGCACCATGTGATCGTGAGTGGAACTGGACACAAAGTATATTTCGTGCCACAGCCTTGTGATTTTGATGCTAGTGGAAGTGATATCCAGCCAGGATGTTCCATAACGAATGAGTCTACAAAGTTAGACTATTTCCAGTTGTATTTTGACGAGCCTATAATGAGCTTGACAGTGACTCAGACAAACAATTATTACCAATATGTCATGGACAACACAGTAGAGGTTGGAGAATCGTCACGGCTGCACAGGTTGAAAGGGGCTGAAATGTATTTATTCCTTGCCAGTGTCATGCTTATGCCACATATCTATAAGAACAATGTACGTAATTGCTGGTCTACAGACCACTTCATCAGTACTCCAGTTCTCCGTGACCTCCTTCCCTGCAACAGATTCACTCTGTTGCTACGAATGTTGCACTTCTCAGACAGAAATACGCCAAACAGAAATGAACCTTCTATACAAAATCCGGAAAGTGTTTATGTATTTGAAGCAGAAATTCGGTGCATACTTTTATCCCTTCAAGAACATTGTTGTTGATGAGTCCTTGATTCTGTTCAAGGGACGCATCTCATTCAAGCAATATATACCGAGCAAACGTAATTGCTTTGGTATAAAACTTTTTGTTATGTGTGACTGTGAGAGTGGTCTTGTGTTGGATGTAATTGTATACACTGGGAAAAACACACTAGATGATGGCAGACGGATGTTGGGGGCATTTCCGGTGATGTTCGCAGGATGATGGAACCATACCTTGGCAAGGGCCATACATTGTAACACAGACAACTGATATATAAGCCCTATGCTCGCTGATTTCCTACGTGTGAACAATACTGATATATGTGGAACAGTGAAAAGGAATAGGAAACATATGCCAAGGTTCACTGGAGGCAGTGTTGAAGGTGAAGTGCAAGCGTTTCATGCTAATGACATCATGGCAACTGACGTGGCATGATAAACGGGACGTGACATTGCTATCAACCATCCACAGAAACGAGATGGTACAAACAGACAGACTGAGCTAGTTCAACAAAGAACCTATTTGTAAAGCCAGCTGCTGTCTTGGACTATACGAACAATATGCGACTAGTTGACAAGTGTGACATGATGATAGGGTTTGTGACGAGTCGCAAGTGGTATATAAAACTTTTTTTCACCTTGTAGACATTGCAGTGCTCAATGCATTCAATATGTACGAAATAAAGATTGGAAAACGACAACGTTTTGCAGATTTATCTCTGAATCTCGTCAAAAAGATAGCAAGAAACTATGGTACCACACCTGTACCTGCCCCCTCAACAGCAACCTGTCATGCCACAACCTGTCCCCCAACCACAGCCAGTGGGGAAAGTGCCAGACCGAATCACTTCTAACTGTCACTATCTGGTACCAATACCACCTACCCAAAAAAGAAGAAGAATGCCCAGAAAAAGTATATTGTGTGTGCTACCACCAAAAAACGACCCCAAAAGCGGAAGGACACACGATTCATTTGTCACCAGTGTGGGGTGGCACTCTGTATGAATCCATGCTTCATGGAGTATCATACATTTGTGGAGTTCTAGAAACATAAATGGGACATGTAAATACTTGTATATAGTTGTAGATAAAAACGTGTGATTCAGCCAGGTGTGCAAAATCACCTGTCAGTGTGTACATGTGTCTTTATGACAATGTGATAATAATGTCGTATGTAATATAGGTGTATAAACAAAAATTGGCGTTGATATACAAATGATTTACTGTAAACATAATTATCATATCATGAAAACTAAGAAAATGAAAAAAAAAAAAAAAATGGAAGAAAACGGTAAATATGTTGAATTTCTGCAAGCGGCAGTGCCTACCATGTTGCCGTCAGGTGATCGCCAAGTGCCAACTTCTCGGCCTCATATCTCGGTAAGTACTGACCCTAACAACAATTTTTTTGTGCTAAAACACTTAAAAAAATGTGCTCTTTTTTTTTTCTATATATAAAAAAAGGATTTTTTTTTCAAAATATTCGGGGCACTGCGCGAGTGAACGTATATGTACATTTGGACCGTTTAAGGTTTAAGGACCAATGGGGTTGCCAATTTTTCATTTTTTATTTTTTTCCAGAAATGTTGCCAAGTTTTTCCAAAATTTTACAGGCATGCCAGATTTGCCTTTTTAGAGTATCCCTACCAAATTTATTTTTCGAATTTTGGGGAGATTTATCAAATTTTTGAGGGTTTCTTGAATATTCTGAGTCACCTTCACTTCCATGGATCAAGATTTACTCCAAGGTACATTTTCACTCCTCCCTATGGATACCCATTAAAATTTCGATAATGGTAATACAAACAAGAAGATTTGCCTTTAACCCCTCCACTTTCTTGGATCAAGACTGAACGTAATCCCCTATGGCAGTGGTTCCCAGACTGGGGGTAAATTACCCCCTGGGGGTAATTTAACCATTTTTTGGGGGGTAATGGAGGGGTGACAAAAAAAGTTATGAATTCTGAAAATCAAGAAAACAATGCGGTCCCCCAGTATGAGGATTATTGTTAACTTTGTCTTAGTATATAAAGTTGTAAAGTAAACCTAATTATAAGTAAGTAATAAAGTTAAACCAAATAACAATAAACATCAAAAACTAATATACAGTATTAGAAAAGAAGAAATATATAGCTAAGTGTGTGGAAACCCAAAAGTATTTTGACAAGTATGCTTCAGGACAAAAGTCACTCAGTAGCCCAGATCGACCTGTCCAGTACGCGTCACTCACTTCCTGAGGCTGCCTCTATTTCACACTGTCAGTTTATCTGTGAGCATCAGCCGAGGTAAAACATAAGCTGGTATGTATGTGTACTGCCCTGTGCAGTATATAGTTTTGTATTTACCCACTGTTACTGTGAATTTGTAGCTATTATTAATTTTTATATATAATGTATGTGTGGTTCTTACATTTTCAATGGTTTTGCTAGGATTAGCAGAGTATGCGAGGCTGTATACGTTCACTGTAGTCTCCCCGCTACACGGTGCTCTTGTGCTGACAAGCATGATACTTGCAGCCTGACAATTTTGAATGTATGCGTGTGTGCTTGCAAACAGTGAACTTGTGTTAGCTGCCATACGAGAAATTAATGTACCTTGCGTTTTGCAGTGTATGCATGGATATTCTTCTTTTTCTGCAGATTGAACAAGAAAATGTCCAAAAAAGCGCACCTACACTGACGCCTGTCTTCGCCATGGCTTTGTGAATTTAACTTCTGGTGGAGAGGATCGGCCACAATGTGTGGCATGTCACAAAGTGTTGACAAATGAAAGCCTCAAGCCATCAAAACTCTCAGCTCACCTCCAGAAGTGCCATCCAAATCTTCAAAATAAGGATCAGGCTTATTTTCAGCGCCAGGATGTAGCACTGAAGAATATCCAGTTCGGCTCATCTGGAATTCAAGCCCAAAAGCTTCAAGCTGCGGTCGAAGCATCCTACTGTGTTGCATATAAAATTGCCGAACAACTGAAATGCCACACCATTGCAGAGAATCTGATTATGCCTTGTGCATACGAGATGGCAAGCAAGGTATGTGGGAGGATCAAGCGAAGAAACTGAGTGTCATATCTCTATCAAACAACACCATCCGCCGACGAGTCGATGACATGGCATCAGATATCCTGTCCCAAGTTACAACAGAGATCAAGGAAAGCTCATATGGCAAATTCTCCTTGCAATTTGATGAATCGTGTGACGTAGCCAGTTGTGCTGTTCTCCTTGGGTTCGTCCGTTACGTCCACCAGGATAAGATCAAAGAAGAGTTCCTATTATGCGAGGATCTGCTGACAGCCACAAAGGGAGAAGATGTCTTCAATATCATCAACAGTTTCTTTACCAAGAATGGATTGGATTGGAACAGCGTTCAACAGGTAGGAAACGATGTTTATATAAAGTCTAAATTAGTATAAATACAATTAATTACACGGCATATAGTCATATACAGTTTTATTTATTGTACAGTAACTGTAGTGTAGCTAATATTTTGTACATGATTCACACAAAAAATATCGTGCCTGTCGTACTGAAATACTCAAGTACCGAAATAATTAATTAAAACCATATAATTATAACGCAAAAGATAAGTAACAATGACTAACTGACGCAGTCTATAATAATTTTTCTTTTTATTCCAGGTCTCCGTCGATGGAGCACCGTCGATGATGGGTGTCATCGTGGATTACGGGGCCTCATACAAGCTATCAATCCAGAAATTTCTGTAGATCACTGCATCATTCATCGGTACTCTCTTGGATCGAAAAGCCTGCCTGGTAATCTGAAGTTAGTGTTTGAAGATGTGTTGAAAATCGTCAACTTCATCAAGTCCAGAGATGTGAATTCGCGTATATTTCAAGGAGCTGTGCAAGGAAATGGGAGAGCAGTATCAAGTTCTGCTCTACCACACCGATGTTCGCTGGTTGTCACGAGGCAAGGTTGTACGTCGAGTCATTGAGCTCCGAAAAGCTGTTCAGGAATTCCTGGGAAAAAAAAGGATCTCCTTTTGCTACCAAGTTCACCGATAAGGAGTGGCTTGCTCGACTTTGTTACTTGGCTGACATATTTGCGGAGCTGAACAGTGGTAATCTGCAACTCCAGGGCCGAAACACGACTGTCATTGATGCCCATCACACTGTGACTGCATTTCTGGGGAAACTGAGACTCTGGATTCGGCGCTTGGAGCAAGGAGTGATCGCCCAGTTTCCCACCCTAGACCAGTTTGTTGAGGAGAATAGTCATGATACTGGATCACTTCTACAGACCATCAACAAAGAAATGAAGCGACCATTTGAAGGGGCTTGAAAACAAGCATGCATCACTACTTTCCAGAGAGTGACCAAGAAACAGCCACTCTTCAGTGGATCATTCATCCTTCTCTGTACCTGATGATGCCATTCATGATGATGATTTCCCTGCAAAGGAGGAGTGGATCACAATGCGAGCCAATGAAGCCTTGAAAATCGAATTCCAAAACCAAAATGCAGATTCCTTTTGGATTTCACGACTACCTGACTCGCCAACTCTGTCCAAGAGAGCCTTGAAGTTGTTGGTATCATTCTCAACAACGTATCTATGCGAGAAAGGGCTTCTCAACTGTGCTGGGTATGAAAACAAAAAAGAGGACTCGCTTGAATGTTGCAAACGATGCCAGGCTGGCACTTTCAACCACGAAGCCAGAATTCCTAAACTAGCTTCAAGTATGCAACTCCATCCATCCCACTGATTTCTTGACATCTTTGGTAATAGTCATTAGAGACGCACAATGTTTCAAATACAATAAATAAAAGAAAATATTTCAAGTGTTTTAATTTAGCCATATATATCATAATAACAACATTTTGTGGAAAGGGGTAACATGCTTTATGTGGCATGTTAAATTGGGTAACAAGCTGAAAAAGTTTGGGGGAAACCCCTGCCCTATGGGGTTAGCGTAAGGTTTTCTCCTATGAGCGTCAGAGTTAATCATTCAAAAATGGTAGTCATAGTCTATGAAGATCCTTCAGGGAATGTGACATGACCTTAATAAGTTGGGCATTGACTTGGACCTTTCTAACATGGTGCAATACGTCTACTCTACAGGAGTATAACAGGTTGAATCAAGAGAGGTGTGACATCACACCCAACGAAACAGGATTGAGTAGGTAAAACTAGTTGATGTGACATCATGAGGGTGCTCATACATATTGCATCATGTGTGTACAGTCTCCCAGTCCCAGGTATTAGAGGTTTACACTCCACTCTTTTGTTAATAACAATGCATTTTTTAAGTAAAATGTTCAGTAATACACATTTTCGGTAAATACAATATAACACGAATATTTCCTTGTTTCAGTAATATAAGTCATTGACCAAAGTCAACATAGGGAAACTTTAAGCTAAGACATGTAAAGGATTTTTTACTCATAATGTTCAGAACATTTCACATTTTTATACATATTACTTCAGAACACACACAAAATAATCGTGTTCACCAACTCAATATAATTTTTTTCCTACACACAGAAACACACACACATACACACACACACACACACACCAAGTTTTGCTAGGGAATGGAAGAAATATAGAAGGCAAAAGACCCAGGAGAATAAGGAGAGCAGTCATTCAGCCGGAAATGAATATGCACAGATAAGAAGAGAGGCCCAACGACAATATGAAAACAACAAAGCAGCGAATGCCAAATCTGACCTGAAGCTGTTATACAGCCACATCAGGAGGAAAACAACAGTCAAGGATCAGGTAATCAGGCTAAGGAAGGAAGGAGGAGAGACAACAAGAAATGACCGTGAAGTATGTGAGGAACTCAACAAGAGATTCAAAGAAGTGTTCACAGAGGAGACAGAAGGGGCTCCAGAAAGACGGAGAGGTGGGGCACACCACCATGTGCTGGACACAGTGTACACAACCGAGAAAGAAGTGAAGAGGCTTCTGAGTGAGCTAGATACCTCAAAGGCAATGGGGCCGGATAACATCTCGCCATGGGTCCTGAGAGAGGGAGCAGATTCGCTATGTGTACCCTAACAACAATATTCAATACATCTATCGAAACAGGGAGATTGCCTGAGGCATGGAAGACAGCAAATGTGGTCCCAATCTTTAAAAAAGGAGATGGACATGAAGCACTAAACTACAGACCAGTGTTACTGACATGTATAGTATGCAAAATCATGGAGAAGATTGTCATGAGAAGAGTGGTGGAACACCTAGAAAGGAATGATCTCATTAACAGCAGCCAACATGGTTTCAGACACGGGAAATCCTATGTCACAAACCTACTGGAGTTTTATGACATGGTGACAGCAGTAAGACAAGAGAGAGAGGGGTGGGTGGATTGCCTTTTCTTGGACTGCAAAAAGGCAGTTGACGCAGTTCCACACAAGAGATTAGTGCAAAAACTGGAGGACCAAGCAGGGATAACAGGGAAGGCACTACAATGGATCAGGGAATAATTGTCAGGAAGACAGCAGCGAGTCATGGTACGAGGCGAGGTGTCAGAGTGGGCACCTCCTGACCAGTGGGGTCTCACAGGGGTCAGTCCTAAGAAAGGGCTGTTTCTGGTATTTGTGAACGACATGACGGAAGGAATAGACTCCGAAGTGTTCCTGTTTGCAGATGACGTGAAGTTGATGAGAAGAATTCATTCGATCGAAAGACCAGGCAGAACATCAAAGGGATCTGGACAGGCTGCAGACCTGGTCCAGCAATTGGCTCCTGGAGTTCAATCCCACCAAGTGCAAAGTCATGAAGATTGGGGAAGGGCAAAGCAGACTGCAGACGGAATACAGTCTAGGGGGCCAGAGACTACAAACCTCACTCCAGGAAAAAAATCTTGGGATGAGTATAACACCAGGTACATCTCCTGAAACGCACATCAACCAAATAACTGCTGCAGCATATGGGCGCCTAGCAAACCTCAGAACAGCATTCCGACACCTTAATAAGGAATCGTTGAGGACCCTGTACACCGTGTGCGTTAGGCCCATATTGGAGTATATGGCACCAGCCTGGAACCCACTCCTAGCCAAGTACGTAAAGAAACTTGAGAAAGTGAAAAAGGTTTGCAACAAGACTAGTCCCAGAGATACGAGGTATATCCTACGAGGAGAGGTTAAGGGAAATCAACCTGACGACGCTGGAGGACAGGAGAGATAGGGGGAACATGATAACGACATACAAAATACTGAGAGGAATTGACAAGGTGGACAAAGACAGGATGTTCCAGAGACTGGACACAGTAACAAGGGGACACAGTTGGAAGCTGAAGACACAGATGAATCACAGGGATGTTAGGAAGTATTTCTTCAGCCACAGAGTAGTCAGGAAGTGGAATAGTTTGGGAAGAGATGTAGTGGAGGCAGGATCCATATACAGCTTTAAGCAGAGGTACGATAAAGCTCATGGTTCAGGGAGAGTGACCTAGTGGCGACCAGTGAAGAGGCGGGGCCAGGAGCTTGGACTCGACCCCTGCAACTTCAACTAGGTGAGTACAACTAGGTGAGTACACACACACACACACACACACACACACACACACACACACACACACACACACACACACACACACACCACAACACACCACACGCATACACACATACACACACAAGAAAGAGCACCCAGCCAGTGAAAGTGACTTTCAAGGCAGAATCGATAACGGACATGCCAGCATACTGGAAGGTGTATCTCGACCGTGACAGAACACAGAAGAAAGGCAGAAACTGAGAGAGATGGTACAAAGGGAAAAGGAGGAAAGAGAGGGGATGGAGGAGACAGACATGAGATCCCAGACCAGGAAGAAGATCAAATACAGCCTCCCTCACAACTTCCTATTGAAGTCCCACAACCAGGTCAACCCCTGTGTAACCAAGCATTTTAAACCAAAACACTCATGCCACATCCAATGCCCCAACCCACTGTATCACAAACTCCACCATTCCACAG